CGCGTGCCAGTACAAGGGGAAAACAACAGGTTTCCAGACTGGTGTGCACGGGACTGTCGTCTTGGCCCTGCCACGTAGAGACAAGCCAGTCCCTGTCAGCGCTGATGGCTGCCTTGTCTGAGAAATTCCTGCCAACAAGCAGCATTTCAGCAAACAGAACAGATAAACAACGAGTCTCAGGGAAGAGAGGGATGCTTCGTTGCTCTTTTCTTTCTTTTGTCACAGTCCTGGGGCTTGAGCCTAAGGCCTTCACATTGAAATGCATCTCTGATCCTTTTTAATTTTATTAATTGATTCTCTTTTTTGAGACAGGATTTCACTCTGTAGTCCAGGCAGACCTTGAACTCACTTTGTAGCCCAGGCTGGCCTCAAACTTGAAGCAGTCCTCCTGCCTCAGCCTCCTGTGTGCTGGGGTAACAGATGTGTGCTGCTGCCCCTGGCTACAGTTCTTTAAATCAGCTGCTTTCTACAATACTCTCCACTGTGGCTTTTTTTTTTCTTCTGCTTTGCCACTGACCAGGAAAACTTTATCAAACACACCTTGTCCCTCTCAGGGGCTGTTGCACTTGGTCAGCTTCTTCACTTTAGCAAGGACTAAAGCCCGGAAACACGGGTACCCCACCTGCTCCACCCAGCCCTACAGGCACCTGGCTGAAGGTCAAAGTGCCCAGGAACTGGCAGGGGCCTCCCATGTGGGCAAACGGCCCCAGGATGGAGAAGAAAGGAGCGAGCAAGGGTCTAGCACCAGGCTCATGTTCCACAGTGATGCTCGGGACAGGGACCTGAGCATGGTGAGATGGTGCTGAGCTGGACAGGAGCCACCTGGGGAAAGGAGCTGGGGGCTCCATGCAGTGGTGGGTGGTGCCAGGCGAGCCTCCTGGAGGAGGTACCCAGGCCTGGCCCTTGGACCAGTGGCCGTCATGTTAGGAGCAAGACCCACCTCTCAGCCTTCTCCTCCTCCTTCACCAGGACCCTGGAGGTTGGCAGCGCTGCCCTGCTTGGCAGACTAAGGGGCTCAGATCAGAGCCAAGTCAAATGTCTGTGGTTGTAAAGTATCTAAAAGGTAGAGCAAAGACTGGAATCCCAGGTTCTGCTGATTAATTTTGTGGGGCATCTTGGGCAGATAGTGACGTGAACAATATTTGCACCCAGAGCCACCCCTGTTTTATGTGGGAATCCATCCCAAGATCCCCAGTGGGTGCCTAAAACCTCAGTATGACACCCCCTTGCCACCCTCCTGCCTTAGCCTCCAAGAGGTTCTGTAATACTCTATACTATTTTTGTATACTGTAATAAAAGTAATATCAAATACATGAATCATTTATTCTGGAGTTTTCCATTTCACAGGGTCAGACTGCAGTTTACCACAGGTAAGTGAGTTCACAGGGAGGGCATTTGTGGGAAGGAGGGCGCTCATTCTATGGGCTTGGGGGCTACTGCCCCCCACCTGGCTGGCCCCCACCTGGGTCATCTCCGTGCAGAAGAGCCTCTTTAGGGACGGAATCCACCAGAATATTGTGCTTGGCAGCAAGACTCCTGTGGCTCCTGGCAGATGACACTGGGCCAGGAGCTCCAGGTGTGTGCGTGGGACTGGGTAGAAGACACGGATGACGCGGCCTCCACACCCTGAGCCAAGTGGGAACGGGGGCATGAATGCCACGAGGAGGCCTCTGTCTTCAGGGAGGGGAGAGGGCAAGCAGATGGCCTGCCGAGAACCCCGGGGGTAGACCCTGGGCCCACGGAGAGCAAGGTGTCTGCAAACTTTGGCCAAGACAGGTTAATCATCAAAGGACAGTGTGTCCCAGGCAGCGGCAGGCTCTGGAAGTGCAGAGGCTGCAGCTCCTGCCGGCCCACATGGAGCCATCCCAGGGCCAGCCTTGCTTGAGAGCACCTTTTACTACTTCCTGTCTGGATACAGCCATGCTGCCCCTGTCTTGGCAGTATTGCCGCAGACTCATCCTGGCCATCTTGTCCTATCCTCTCCCTGCAGGCTGGGCCCTTGCCTGCCAAGCTGTGGACCCTGCTCTTGCCACCCCCTGGGAGGGTCAGGGCTAGCGCAGCTGAAGTATGGAGCCAGCAGTTGGCCTGTGCCCAGGCAGTGGCTCAGGTCCCTGGACAGTGAGTCTGAACTCTGAGAGGTTCCCGCCGCCTCCTAGAGACCCTGGCCAAGTGCTGTCATCATCCCAGCCTTGGTTTCCCACCTGCACAATGAGGGTAGAGCCAGCTGCCTTCCGGGACTGCTGTGAGTCTCCTGCGTTGGTCCCCTGGATCAGCGGGGTTTCGATGTCAGCCCTTGAGCAGCAGCGGGGCACGTGCTCATGGCTAGTTTGCCACGTAGGGTCCAACCTCAAGGCACCAGCAGCTCCTTGTTTGCTGTCAGCAAATACGACCTGTCTCTGCTCCATGGCCTTCTACCACCTGACTAGGGCAGGCTTCCAGGGGCTCAGAGGCCGCTGCTGGTGGATGACACCCAGGACACAAACGCCAGCAATAGGAAGCCAGTGAAGGGCAACCAGTGACCCTTGGAGGCTGTGGATAGTTCCTGCGGAAACAGACACCGGGCCTGGATGGACCCCGGCCCAGGAGAGGGCACCATGGACAGAGGCTGGGCCAGTAGGCAGTGTCACAAGCTCTCTGTACAGTGCCATCCTCAGTGCCTGCTTCTTTCATCTAAACTGCTGCCTGCACAGAGCGGCAGGGCCCTGCTCTCCTTGGGATGTCCCAGCCTCCTACTCCGGCCTTGCTGGCAGACAGCGGTATGCAGCAGTGGCTTGGGGCTGGGGCCTGGCTCACTGTGCCTGTTTCCTTACTGTAATGTGGACACGATAATAATGACCTTGCAGCAGCTCAGAGCATCTTCAAGGTCACAAAATGTGGAAAGGTGGGCCAGGAGTAGACAGGTTCGCAGCACAGCACATGCCCGGCCAGTGTGAAGTCTGGAGCTTGATTCCTGGAATTCCGCCCGCTCCCCACATGCAGAAAGGGGTCTGAGACAGTGAGAAACTTGGAGCTAAAATACAGGTGCCAAAAATTGCATCTGAAGTGCCACGGAGAAAACCCAGGGGTCACTCAGAGGCATTTCTGAGAGCACCAATGGTCAGAGATCTCTACTTCATGGGGTCGCTGCTCCTGCAGGTGCCCACGGCCCTTCACACTGAAGGAAGGGACAGAGAGGCGCTTGGAGAAGCCCTGACACTCTTTGTGATAGTTTCTCCCTTGCTGGGGGTATGACAAGGCTCTTCACCTCTCTCCTCTGAAAGCAGTTTCCCAAGAGAGACCCAGTATCCTCTGGGGAGCCAAGACGGCACTCTCTTGCCAAATCCCCCTTGAGGAAAGTCCTGAGCTCCCTTTTGCCTTAATCCATGGTGGGGATATTTGTTCCAAAGTGACTTTTCCTGACACGTGGTTAAAGATAAATTTTCTCTCCCTAAAACCTGGAGGAGCATCAGGCACCCAAGAATATTATCTTCTTCTGTCTGCTGAGAATTGCTCTGTCACCGCCCGCAGCTGGGGTCCTGTTCAGAACAATTCCTGCCAGGTCCTCCCAGCTGCCTGGTTAAACCAGGTTTTCCTGGGAAGGAAGACTTGTCATAACCCAGGCTCTCAAGGAACCAGGCCTGGGGCGTGGACTACGGAGAACGAGATTCAGGGCTGCAGCCTCAGGTCAGCCTCCCTGGCTGTTTGACGCCTTGCACCACCATCCACCACAGATTCCCTGCAAACTCTGAAACTCAATGCAAACTTCAGGTGCTGCTAGCTGGCATGTCATTGAGCGCCATGAAAGTTGGGCTTGCGACTGGGCCGTGGGAAGGCTATGTGGGTGTCTGAAGAGTGGGGCAGGGCTCACCACTGCTACAGGGTTGTTTAGCAAGGAGAGTGGAAGACAAGCTGTGAAGGGCCAAGTAAGGCCTGGGCTCCAGCTTCCCAGCGTAACTGGGACGCATGCTTGAAGTTTCCTTCCCGGGCTAGGTCCTCCCAGCTCGCGCTCCTCGCCACAAATAGCACGGTGGCAGGCGCAGCGTGAGGACAGCCAGGAGAGCTGGCATAGCACACATTTCGTTCCCAGAGGAGGGGCGGCCCTTGCGCTGGCACCGTGTGGCCTGGTGGCTCACTGCACTCAGCGCGGGGCGCTGGGGGGTGGGTGGTGAGCAGGCGCTCCGGGAGCCTTTGCAGTGTGGTCTCTGGCCTCAAATTGCGTGCTGGACCCCGACCTTCCGCCGCCCTGGCAGCAACCCAGCCTTGGCCGGGCACCAAATCAGCAGAGCCCCGAGAGGGGCGGCTGTCTCGGGGCGGGGCGCAGGGTCGGGACTGGCACCTCCCAGTCCGTCCTCGTCGCCCTTCAGCTTGGGTCCCGGCCGCCACTCCCGGCGTGCGCTCCACTCTGCGCTTGGCTCTGCACCTTGGAGCTCGGTGGCCAGGTCCCCTCGGCTCCGCTCAGTCACCCGCGTGACTCCGAGACTAGCGGACAGCAACTCCGCGGTCCGGACCAGCTCGTCACACCCCAATCGCCAAGCTGAACGTCCTCGTGCTCCCGCCCCGCGTGGACCCTCAGCCCGTCGGGTGCGTCCTTTCGCGTTGCTTTGCCCGCCGACCAGGTGACCTTGGGCAGTGCCTTCGCCTCCCCAGCCTCAGTTTCCCTCGCGTGCCGCGACTGTCGGGCTCCGAGTGGGCCCGCGAAGAGGCGCCCAGAGCCCGGCCCCGCCCCCGCCCGCACCAGCCAATCGCGTGCCGCCGTCCGGGGGTGTGTCCCTGGTGGGGCGGGGCTTCCGGGGCGGGCTCGGTGCAGCGGGCCCGGCTGGGGGCGGTGCGTGG